TTAAGGTTTTAGAATATGTCCCTGTTTTGACCCAACACCCCCAAAACATAGGTGATAAATATCTGATTGGCTCAAACCTGAGAAAACAGTGGTGGTGTTTGTTTTGGAGGGCCTTACTCTCTTTTGAGGATGACTTCCACTCATTTTCCCTCTAAGTATTAGCAATATAACCTTGCAGTCTCAACTGATGGTCACTTACGACTACAAAACGGTATTTTTCTTAACCTAATAATAAACATCTTTTCCCAAGAAATAATTGAAAACACAGCTGACCTTTAAAACTTTATAACTATACTTCCTCATAAGTTATGTTCCACTGAAGCTTTAAGTAACGGAAATACCTTGTTAGGAAATGATGACAGATGTAATCAAAAGCATGCATGTTCCCACTGTACAAAAGGAGCTCTTATCCTAGGCAAGCTTTTGGTGTTTTTTAATCCTTGAAATATGTTAAAGTAGAGACTATCTGGAATCTGAGTAGCAATCACAAACAAGAACATACTGTCCAATCTGAAGGCCTTTATCCTAAGAAAATATTAAACAAGACTCAGACGATGATGAATTGCTTAAGTTGTAGGTTCCTGTGGAAGTGAATGATACTGAAAAGTTAAATCTTTCAAATTTACTGACATTCCCCCACGCTAGTAATATTTTATAAAGTCCTGTGTTCTTCAAAGCATTCACGTTCAAAGCTGAAAATGTCTGTATTGAACATGTAGTTTCTAGTGGTTCTGAGAACAAAACGAAACAAAAAACTTGACCCAATTATTCATACTACCCAGGTCCCTTATCTTTTTATTAAAGCCTTTTCCAACTGTGTATCTAACTAACCCTCCCTGAAAACTTCCAGTGAAGGTAATGAATTGGAAAACGCCATGGGCACTCAGATTACTTACATACGAATTCCACCATTCATTATCACTTGAAGGAACACTTGTTCATCCTGTACGCACCAAAAGTCCTGCTGAAAAAAGTAATGCTACTGATCTCTTGCCCATTATTTTCTTACTGGGGCAAGATTGGGCCCTGGCAGCTTCTAATAAAGACCAAGTCTTTAGATTCCAGTCCGACATCACAGTCTGCTGTCACCCTCACCAGACAATTCCCACATCTCCCTGGGACCAGCTAAAGCATTCAGGGAAGGCACAGGACACAGAAGCATGACAGAGATGCTAGGACAAGTAGTTTTGAATCATGCTATAACTACACATTTTAAACATACAAAGAATCAAAAGCTTGTTCAGTGCCATTATTAGTTAATATTGAAATGGGTTCATTTTCCCAGTCCATGTACTTTATTGTACTAAATTTTATCAAGCAAGAATATCCTTGAAACAGACCTAAAAACTGTGTTCATGACTAAATTTGATAGACAACAAAGCGTTCATTTTTTCATGTCTTTAATATTCTAAGTCAGCTGAAAAGTTTGAAAGGTGCCACCTAGAGCAGAAATATGACCTTTCTGAAGTCACAGAACATCTTATTTTTATTATTATTTTTAGAACATCTTATTAAAAATATGTAGAATCTTGGCTGGGTACAGTAGATCATGCCTGTAATCTCAGCACTTTGGGAGGCCAAGACAGGTGGATAACCTGAGGTCAGTAGTTCAAGACCATCCTGACCAACATGGTAAAACCCCATCTCTATTAATAATACAAAAATTAGCCAGGTGTGGTGGCGGGTACCTGTAATCCCAGCTACTAAAGAGGCTGAGGTAGGAGAATCGCTTGAACCTGGGAGGTGGAGGTTGCAGTGAGCTGAGAAGGCGCCACTGCACTCTAGGCTGGGCAACAGAGTGAGACTCTGTCTCCAAGAAACACACACACACACACACACACACACACACACACACACACACACGAGTCTCTCAATCAAGCACTAATCAAGGCAAATGGTATCAGAGCAAAACCAATTTATGGTTAAGAATCTATGTTAAACGATGGATTACTAGCAACTAACTGTAACAACTAACATTTACTGGGCACTGACTTGGTACCAAGCACCATTCTATAACCTTTCTTGTATTATCTCATGGATTCTTCATAATTACTACCCATTAATTAGGATCCCATTTCACAGGCAAGGCGATTGAGGCACAGAATGGTAAAGGCAGGGGGCTCACAGGAGAATGAGAACCTCTAGCCAGCGAGGGTAGAATGAGGCTGGACCCCTGTGATTCAAGTAGTTTCGCCACAGCTGCCTCCGTACACCATTGCCAGCAATAATATGAACACTGGAAAATGAGGTTCAAGACGGAGGTTGCAAGAGTTTCATAAAATTCCCTTTTCTGATGCTTTTCTATCTAGATCATGGTAAAACAAACATATAACACAGTTTCTTCAGACAGATGACAAGAATTATGAGTTTACTTTATGTCCCAGTTACAGACTGCATTTGGGGACAAAGAAAATTCTCCCAGGGTGATTGTACTCCTTTCCTAGGGCTGCCATAACAAAGTACCATACACTTGGTGGTTTAAAACAACAGAAATGTATTGTCTTATGGCTCTGGAGGTCAGAAGTCTGTAATCGAGGTGTCGGCAGGGCCATAAACCCTCTAAAGGTGCTAAGGAAGGATCTGTTCCAGGCCTCTCTCAGCTTCTGGATATCCCTTGGCTTGTGGCGACATAGTGCAAATCTTCACATGGTATTTTCCCTGCAAGTGTGTCTGTCTCTGTGGCCAGATTTTCCCCTTTTTATAAGGACCTGAGTCATGTAGGAGTAGGACCCCCCTACCCAATGATCTCGTATAACTTCAGTTAACTCTGGAAAGACCCTGTCTTCAAGTAAGGTCACATTCTGAGGAACTGGGGGTTAGGACTCCACTGTATCTTTCTGGGGGAGATACAATTCAATCCAGACGATAAAAGTGCAATTTGGAGCCTTAAAGTAAACTAGACAGATTTGGAAATAATATAAAATATAAGAGATGTAGCTTATCAAGTTTTAATGCATCCAAGGCCTAGCTCATTCTGTAAAATGTCCCATAGAATCACTGCAAGTGTAGCACTCTATGGACAGGATTTGCCAACCTCTGATTTAAGGCTTCCAATTCATACTGAAACACTTTATTTATTTATTCAAAATAATATTAAGTGTCAAGTATGACGTAGCAGGTAATTTTCATGACTCTGTTTACCTACCTAGAGTTCTACCTAGCAATGGTAAGAGGGAGGAACAGGGACGGTTGTTAACCATATATGTAACTGAACTGTTCACATTTTTTTTCCTTTGATGCAAGGACACATTTTATTGTTTTATCTTTATTTTATTCATATCCACTTTTTGTAGGATAGCTCAAGTTAATTTTACATCAGCAAATAATTCAAAGTGGCCTTTTAGATGACTGGTATTTGCTTCCATCCTTAATTACAATTTCTATCATAAAAGTATCAACTTCTAGCAGGCAAAACATGTTACTCTACTTTCTGGTAAGGACAAGAATAATAAACCTTTATCTCTATCCCATTTTCTTTGTCAAAAGCTGTAACAAACAGCATTCCAACCCAATGTGGACATGCTCCAATGCCTGCTCTCCCTCATTTGTTGTATACTTTAGATTAGACTAACAGTTGCTTCATATCTACATTTTTGAAAAGGGTAAAATGTATTTCTGGAGATTAAGGAAAAGTATTCTATGTGAAATAGAAAGCACTGTCTTAAAAATACTTGTTTGGATATACTTCTTTCTTTTTCTTTTCTTTCTTTTTTTTCTTTGAGACAGGCTCTCACTCTGTTGCCCTGGCTGGAGAGCAGTGCTGTGATCATGGCTCACTGCAGCCTCAAACTCCTGGGCTCAAGCCATTCTCCTGAGTTGTTGGGACTACAGGCATGTGCCACCACACCTGGCTGGATATACTTTCTAATATGCATTAAAGAAGTACACAGTTTAATCAAAGAAAAGGAAGTCAAAAAAACCTGAACAAGTAGTGTAGTGAAGAATCACAGGCAAAGATATTAAAGGATGTGATATTTTATAAAAGCCCAGTGCTCAGTTCTTAGCATCCAGTGGGGGTCAATAAAAGCTAATTCATCATTGGGAAAATGCTGACAATATAAGATAGGAATGAAACTCCCATTCCCAGGTTTCTATGCTTCTGTGTTACTGGAAAATTGTAGGTAAAATGTCATACAATTAGACCTCACTTAAAACAAAATTGAGAATGAATACTGGTTATAATAGGGAGAGAAGCATTTATATCTCAGATAGTTACTTAAAATAGAAATGGTCTGGTGAATTTTAATAGAAGAGCACAAAAGTAGTTCTAGTTCTTTCTAGTAAGGTGGTAAGAAATTTAAAACTTTTGACTGAAGATATAAGACCTTTATAATTCTCTAACTCCATGGACAGAGCCTCAGTGCAGAACCAACAGAAGTTGTAAGTACTAGGCATTTCGTTATTCTGTTTAGGTTCAAGCTACTTAAGATTCGGGACCTCTAGCACCAAGGACGTCTCCAAGATGTGTCCCAGAGAAAATGGCAAAAGTATTTTAGGAACTAGCAGTCTCAGGGTTAAATCCTGGTGTAGAGAAAGCAGCAGAGGAAGTAGAGTCAGGCAGATTTGGTTTGGATCCTGACAGCAAATCACTAGTTGTGAACCATGGAACAAGTCAGTTAACCTTTTTAAGGTTCACTTTCCTCATATATAAAATGAGTTTAATACTCTGAGGTACTGTTGTGTAGATTAGGGTGTGCACACACATAAGCATGCAGACATACATGCTCCACTTGGCAGAGTGTCTAATGGTCAATCAATAGTAGAACTACTATTAGGATAAGCTTTGTTCTGGAACACAAAAAAAGTCTTATACTGAAACAACTCAAGAAACTAACATAAGTGAGGTACAGCATCCCCATAGCTTTTCCAGGCTTAGGACTGGATTTGAATATTACCTGTAGCCAATGAAGAATTATAATAACTTTATATATGGGGGAAGAAAAAAATATAAAAGGCAGGGCAAGGAAAGGAAGCATGAAGAAACAGAGGCCTGAACTTACGTCGTTCTTCTCTGTGCCTCTCGGTCTCTGCAAAGTATTGGCGGAGCTCTTCGGTGATTTCCATGTTGCTCAGGTCACATTCTATTTCTGCATCTGACTCGGTCTCCGTCTCTTCCTCTTTGGACAAAGCTTGGTCTTGGTCTTCTCTTGTGGATGCCTGGATCCTATTGCTGTCATGTGGATTCTGCCCAGACCCTCTGAAATGTGAAGAATTACAGGGGGAGTCCTGCCAGGACACATGATTGTCATAGAAAGCCTGAGGATATGCAGCTTGGATATCGTAAGAGCTTTGGGGAAGAAGTACAGGAGGGAAGTACCATGGAACACTGAAATAAGATTCCATGGCCTTCCTGTAGGCATTCTGGTGGCTGTGCATCCAAGCCATTGCTTGATGATAATGTTGCCAATATCTTGCATATACCGGATGACAATACCAAGGCCTGGTAGCTTTCAACGTTGATGCCTACAAAATGAAAGGAGGTGGAGGGTGGACATCAAAGTGTTTATCCTCAAGAGAAATCTTCAAATGTTTAATCTGCTACCCAACAGGTATTTACTTAGTATTTGCTGAATATCTACTCTACATGAGGAGGCTACTAAGCTCAAAATTGTGTGAGACAGGTCCAGGCCCACAATGGACACCAAGTGTATGCATACTTGCTAAGCCCATGTACATGAGGAATGCACAAGCCAATTAGTTTAATGGTATGGAGCATTATAATGTGGGGACGGAGACTAGTGATTGCTTCTAGATGAGATGCAGGGAGAGAGAAGACTGGATGCTTATCATCTTGGCCCTCTCTATCTACTGTAATAAATGACTAGTGCTGAGTGGGCAATGGCCTGCTAGGACATAGTAGACTGACAAGCATGATAGACTTTAGTTCTTCCCTTTCTGCCCCCTAAACTAACTTGCTGGCCTGGGCCACCCCTAAATGCCTGGGACAAGAGATATCTAGGAATGTATCTAATAGTGCTTTTACTTTTGTATTTCTTATGTCTTCTCCATTGTGGAATGAGAATACCAAGACTTTAAAGACTAAAGTTTATCTTTCTTACTTACAAGCTAAAAAAGTCTTACCTTCTTCGCTGCCATCTCTGATTGTGAAAATCCAAATGGGTGCCGAAACTAGGAAAGAAGAATCACAGTGCAAATCTCTAATCAGTACGGCTGTGTGATATTTGTGGCTATTTTGTGGTTTGTAAGACAGCTCCTGAGGAGCTGGCTCTTCCTGGTACCATGCCTGATTTCCTACAACCTATCTATAAGACGTTGGTTCCTGGGCTATGACTTCGTGGTCTGAAAAGGAGTGATCTCCTTAAATATGATTAAGTGGGTCAAAAGATCCTGCAAGGTTCAATTACTTATTTCCCTATAGGAAGTAAAGTCTATGAAAATGACCATATAAATATTTAGTTGTTAGTATATATATACATATGTGTGTGTGTGTGTATATATGTTGGGTCTTGCCTTAGGTCTGGGACTTGGAGAATAAGACATCTCTCCAGCCTCAGTTGTGCCCTGGGCTTTCAGTCCCCCAAAACAGACTTGTTTTCATTTTGATTGCAATATGCATTTCTCAGCCAGCATGTGACATCACATTCTCCTTGCCTAACTACCCTGTGTATTCATAGACTCCATGGAATCTCTACCGAGGTACCATATAGATTGCCTTAGGCAAATACTATTGCTCTGCTGAAATTTACACCTTTTCTCACTACCCACCTGTTGTGATTTGCTGATTCAATGCATGAATACCCAAAAGTAAAGTCTAATCGGCAGCTGTACCTTTTTCAATCTATTTAAAATAGACTTAACATGGTGAAACCCCGTCTCTACTAAAAATACAAAAAATTAGCTGGGTATGGTGGCACATGCCTGTAATCCCAGCTACTCGGGAGGCTGAGGCAGGAGAATTGCCTGAACCCAGGAGGCGGAGGTTGCGATGAGCCGAGATCGCGCCATTGCACTCCAGCCTGGGTAACAAGAGCGAAACTCCGTCTCAAAAAAAAAAAAAAAAAAAAATAAAAAATAAATAAATAAATAAATAAATAAAATAAAACAGACTTTTACTTTTTTTTTTCTATTCAGGGGTTCAGAGCTACACTGGAATGTACTTTTAAAAAGTTAAACAAAAATATCCAAAAATACATGAGAATTTAAGCTTCTGTGACACAAAACCACTAACACAATGCAATGCTGAGCAAACAACTACTTAGGTTTTGAAACTGTGGAAATCAGATACTGAAGGAGTCCTATTTTTCCTTTTTACTTAACTATAGGGTAGAATTAAAAAATTCTCCAACCCTTAAGAAACAAACTTTACTTGTTTTATAATCTCTATCAGATGTTTTGCTATGGTTATATTAAGAACTGAGATGCTAAATCAACCATTTCTATATTTTAAGATTTAGCTAAAAGAGAATCATTCACATTCTTTTAAAAGATAAACTTTCAAACAGGGTACTTCTAAGAGGGCTGATATGACCTGTAAATTTATCTTAAACATAGCCCATAGTTCTTGCTCCTTGTCTTCAATACTATGCATACATGCAACAAATATAAATTGAAAAAGTTAACAAATGCAGTGTAAATTCAGTTCATATTACTTTTAATCTACAATTTTAATGTTTTAAAGGTTTAAAACACGAGCAAGTAACTGAAAACCTAGCTCACTGCTATGTGCTTTACAGGCCACTGAAGAAATATAAAAGTTAATACTTAGGTGGCTTACCACTCAGAGAAGTAAAACTAAATGAAATTATGTAGAAATCAGTATGTCCTTGAGAACAAAACTGTAAGGTATAGATTTTAAGTAGCTAATTCACTAGAACCAGGTTTTATATTTCTATGGCTAAAATCTGAATGGTTTTCTGAAAGCCTGCAGAACATAACGCCATTAAAGTGAACTGCATGTATATCTTAATCAAATTTGTTTTAAAGATTAACAAGCAGCAAAGAAATTAAATTAGAAAAGTCTAGGAGACATGTGCACGTGTTCTGGAAATTAAGTGTTTTGAATCCTGACTTCTTTCTATGCACCATAAGGCATTTAGAACCAGGTCAATGTAAATATCAATTATTCCAAATTGGTAAGTCTGATAGCCTCAAATATGAAATAAACACCATTGATATTGAACACTACTATACACAAAATCTTGTTTTTGGTTATAATTGGGAAAATTAAGTGTGGCAATAAAGGTCGTAGCACCAATATTCTGAAAATCCACCAGATGGCTAAGAGAGGCTCCGTTTTGCAAAGCTGGACATTTAGGCCTGTGGGATAAAGTAGACTACCATTTAAGGAGTTCAAGGGTAATTGATGATGTTCTACAGGTTGCTCAAATGTCAATGGCTGTGATTAAGAGGGAGGGGTCAGGCGCAGTGGCTCACGACTATAATCCCAGCACTTTGGGACGCCGAGGTGGGTGGATCATCCAAGGCCAGGAGTTCAAGACCAGCCTGGCCAACATAGTGAAACCCCATCTCTAGTAAAAATACAAAAATTAGCTGGGTGTGGTAGTGCACATCTGTAATCCCAGCTATTCGGGAGGCTAAGGCACAAGAATTGCTTGAACCCGGGAAGTAGAGGTTGCAGTGAGTTGAGATCATGCCACTACACTCCAGCCTGAGTGACAGAGCGAGACTCAGGCTCAAAAAAAAAAAGAAGAAGAAGAGCGACGAAACACTAATTTGACGAGAGGTGACTCTGACCCAACAAGGCATCTGGTAGAAGGGATGCCATGTTAGAAAGCCTCAGAGATAACCCAGGTACGTCCTGAGGGCTTATGCATGAAAGAAGCTAGGAGAATAAGCTGAGATGACTGAAGAAAGCCAGTTTCAGCTTCCAAACCAGAGGCAGTTCAGAATAAGGCCAGAGTGCCCACTATGTACATTAATTAAATATATTAAATAATCAGCTAAGGTGCTAGACTCTCAAGACCCAGGCCATTATGAAAGGATGAATTTACGTTAATGATGGAGTGCAAGCAACTCTGTAGGCAATTTTGCTTTGTTTTGATTATGCTTTCCTCACAGTTTTCACCACTGGGATATTTATAATCAAACTTGCTGCCATCTTTGAGCAAGTTTAAAGTCCTGGGGCTGTATGTAGACTGCGCTCATCTCACTCTTGGCTTAATTATTTTCTCTCCCTAAATCCCAAAACCTACTTGTAATATCCTTTTTCATTTTAAGTATTTTTAGGAGTCCTAAAATCCTATATTCAAATTAACCAATTTGAATAACTGACTTGAAGAATTACACATTAGTCTCTCAAAAGTCAAATAAGGCATAGAAAAACATGTCTAAAGCAGTAGCAATTTGTATAGAGCTTTATAATTACTTTTAGCTAGGTCTTTCCAGTATTATTATTTCATGCCAGCAACTTTTTTCAGTAAAGGATGAGATAAATATTTTAGGCTTATGGGCCACATACAGTGTTTGTCACATAGTCTTCATAGTCTTTGATTAAAAAAAAAAAACACCAAACAACCCTTTAAAAATGTAAAAACAATTCTTAGCTCCCTGGAAGTATAAAAAACAGGCTGTGAGCTTTTTTTTGCTCACCCCTGTTTTATGTTAACACATTTTGAAGTCATATATGCTCTCTCTGAATATACAAAACATCCTAATTCTTCCTTACTTTCCGCTTGGGAATCAGTAGAGGAACTTCACACAAGTTTCATAATGATTAGACTGGGAGAAAGACTAGCGGAGGCAAGAAAACTGACTATGAATGATTCTCACATGTTTCATAAATGATTAGGCTTGGAGAAATACTAGTAAAGACAAGAAAACTGACTATGACCAATAGCAATCTTGTTGACTGGTTCCTAATATGTGGGACAAAAAAATACTTTCCATGACTAAATAAGGAAAGTGGACCATTTCTTAAAGATCCATATAAACATTTAAAGATTTAACTAAAAACAACAATAAAAATTCTGCAAAACAGTATCAATCAGCAGGGCTTAGAAAGCAAACAGGTCAGAGTTCTGAATCTCTATTCCCTGGAAGGAATATATATTCTTTCCTGCTAAGCAATCAATTAGTTAATATCAGTTAGCTCCCAAGGGAAGAAGAGGTCCTCTTCTAAAGATGGGTCCGATTAACTTTTAAGCTGGTTATTTTCTCCATACATGGAGAACTTAAGGAGCTAATAAGAATGCCTGGGTTTCTGAAAAGCCAACATTTAAATAATTACAGTCATTATAGCAACACCTTCAGAGACTACTACCTCTCCAAGAAAAGAGAGCTGATGGTTGCTGCAGATGTAGATACCCTTTGGTCTTTAATGGTTTTTAATTTGATCTTCCATTCCTCACCTCCCTGAGAATGTCTCCCACTCTTTCATGGCACAAGCCTTCACGGACTGAACAGTAACTTTTCTCCTAATGGGCTGGTGGGGCTGAAAGAAAAGAGATTGGCAATGTCAGGGAAGGCCGGGATCCGCAGCTCTACAAACCGGGCAGCTCTCTCCAGTGAGCACAATGGCATAATGGCCACCATCCAGCTGAGCCCAGGCGAGTACAGAGACCATTCATTGTCTGTCCTCAACCACCAAAGAAGGAAGGAAAAAAACAGGGTTGAGGTCATTCACTAAACACTAACGAGGCCTACAGGCAAGAAAGAAACTGAATCTTGAACGAAATATTTTTCCATACAGACTCTCTAAAAAAATGGATTCACACTTCAGTACATCTGTTTACCCTGAAGGATACATTTTAATGCATAAATATACATAAAGAACAATAGATTAAGAACCTTGTAGCTTTCAATGGATAAAATGTGACTATTTCTATCAAGTTCCAAAAAATTCCACAAATCAGTGGCTTTGTTGACAGGGAGTGCCATCAAATATATTCTTCTAATTGCCTATTTATGTTCTTACAAATACAGAATATAGGACACATTGTAGCAACCAAAAAAGTAACATAAAAACGTAAATTCCCCTAAAAACTAGAATGTATACTTGAACTAGATTTTCCTATCTTCTGTTTCTATTAGAATTCTAAAAATACATGAAAATTCACTTGCTTTGATTTTTGCACAGAAACACATTAAAAATCAATTAAATAAGTTAATCTGGCTAAAGCCCTGAAAGTCAAACCTTTCCTACAAAGCTCCAGTGATTTGGTTCTCTGAGCCAACCAGGTAATATGGAGGATCTAGTTATGCCTTCAGTACACTGGTTCAAGGAGATCTGCTGCTGAACACTGAAGGAAAATAAGCAAAGGTATGCTGAGAAATCTGTGGGAGATACATTGAGTCATATGTGGTTCTAAGGAATCTCTCTGTATATGCAATAACAACCCTACCACAGAAGATGTCTTCCAAAGAATATAATAGGGTTTTGTTGAGGACTGGGTTTCTTGCCCCACCTACTTGGGCAGCCCTGCCCCTATCCCTGGCTGGTTACTGAGGCTGGCAAGCTCATCTGGCTTGATGCCCTCATGGGCTCCCTCCTGTGTCTTTGCATGGTCCCTGCTTAGTGATTTGGACATCAAAGATGGCTCAAGTTCAAATGGCCTTCTTCCACCTGCAGGCATCCAAGCTCCATCTTGGACAGGACACAAGCCTATTCAAGTGTACGTGCCACTGTGTTCAGAAAGCTTGCACCTCCCTGTCTGTAATAGTTACAGTTAAAACTGATGGGCAAGGGAGCCAAAAAACTGAGTTTTCTTTTCTTTTCATTCCTTCAATCCCCATCCCCAATTTACCCTCTTCTGGATGTTATAATAAGTACTGTCACAAACAAGGCATAGCATGAGGAAGCAGTAAGACTGAAAGGATGTAGTTAACAATTCTTTTTTTTCATACAAATGACATTCCACCCACAGAAGGGCATTGTTTAATTTGTCAGCAAGTGTGATGAATTTGTGAATGGATTTATTTGCAAGTTCTCTGAATCCCCATGTGACTAATATCAGAATCAAAAGTGAAGTATGAGGCCAGGAACAAAGTTACCCTCTGACTCAGGAACACAAAAGGCAATGGGATGACTGAGAATGACATAATGATAACACAGTTCAAAAGAAGAAACAGATAAGTTTGTTCCACAGCAAGCACGTCCTTCATAAGCAAAACCTAGTGTAACCATAAGGGAATAAAAGTTGAATAGGCAGGTACTACAAATTGAGAGCATATCAGAGAAAACCATGGCTGTTAAAAGTAGTTAAGATCGCTAGTACATTTCAGGTGTCTTATTTCAAGTTTAATTTTTTTGATAAACATATTCATGGTAATTCCATGTTAGTCTCTCTTTTCTGAATTTATACACACTCGCTATGCCTAATTCACTTGGGCACTTACTCAACTACCTGTAGCCATGGATTCTCTACAATCTACTCCTTTTAAGTTTCCTATTTTCCTTCCAGCATAAAAATAATAGCTAATATTGGCCAGGCACGGTGGCTCAAGCCTGTAATCCCAGCACTTTGGGAGGCCGAGGCGGGTGGATCGCAAGGTCAAGAGATCGAGACTATCCTGGTCAACATGGTGAAACCCAGTCTCTACTAAAAATAAAAAAATTAGCTGGGCATGGTAGCGCGTGCCTGTAATCCCAGCTACTCAGGAGGCTGAGGCGGTAGAATTGCTTGAACCCAGGAGGCGGAGGTTGCGATGAGCCGAGATCGCACCATTGCACTCCAGCCTGGGTAACAAGAGCAAAACTCCGTCTCAAAAAAAAAAAAAAATAGCTAATATTTCACGCTGTTAGATGCTGCTGAAATTGTTGTTGAGCTTGTCTGTTGTTTCCTAATAACCTTTTCTCCTCCTACATCTACTCCCCAAATGAGGACCTAGTAACTCAAACAACTGACTATAAAGCACCAAATCTTTTCAGGAAGCAAGTATTTAAATACATTATGTTTTGAAGGATCTTTTCAATTCATCTGATCTTTGATCAACTACATTCTTTTTCACTTGTCTAGTTGTTCCATGGCTAAATTTCATCTTGTAGAGAAGTAGCTCAAAAAAAGTTCTATACCTAGTTTGCAAACTCTCCAACCTACACTCTAGCCTTAATTGTTCAAAACTTTCCCCCATCATTCTCATCATACCCTATCCTTTCAAAAAACCCAAAATGATTCATTGCCATCTGTAAAACAGTTTTGGAATGAACATTTCTCTCTGGAACTTTAGTTTGTAAACTTCCCCAGCACAGCAATGAATACACAGAGGGGATTTATACACCTGTGAACCTGCTTTCAGTTATGCTTATTCAAAGTTACTAACCAACAGTCTTTAAAAATATATGGTTTCTGTTCACACTGAAATCCCCAAGAGACTGTTATTCTGATAAATTATGCTAGCAAAAATAGTATTTTTAAAGGGTAGCTCTCATCCCACAATTCATGGGACCTGTGAGCATAAATAATCCCAGAAGTGTTGTGTTATGAATCTTTAGTCTAGATTTTTCAAGTAATGTTGTTCTGATTTGAGATGAAAAACAGCTGAATACATAGCCTAGCCTGTGAAATGAGCTTACAAACATATTTCCTGAAAAAAATAAAATTGTTCAGAACCAACTGATCTGTACTAAGGGAACATCAAGATTTCAGAGCTAAAATGCACTTAGTTGGACACTAGTTCAACTATATAGCTCATTACTGATAAGTGGGCAAAAACACAAAGCCCATAAACCATAGGGGCCAGATGTCTCAAGAAAACTCCAACCAAAAACCCTGACCTCCTGCAGAGGTTAAAGTACAAGAGAAAAGAAAGAAACCTCCAAGTTTTGAGTAGACAGGCCAATATCCTAGACATCCTCCAAGTATGTGGCCGTCCTGGGTGATCTTCTATTCAGATAATGGGCTGGATGGGCAAAATCCGAATTCACCTACAGATCTTAACACAGTGGTTCTCGGCACACCAGAATCACCTGGGCAGCTTTAAAAGCTACCGATGCTAGGGCCCTACTATTAGATATTCGGATTTAATTGGTCTGGGATGAGGGCCCGGGCATCAGTGATTCGGAAGCACTGCAGAGCTGAGAGCCTCTGGGACTGGTCCCCTCTCACAATTAACCTGCAATGATTTAGGAATCTCAAGGGCCACCTTTAATCATGGGATTAACATAATTATGATAGCAACGTGACGTCCAAGACCTTGGCTCTCTGCACAACAGAAGAAGCCAGGTCCCGGGGCCTCTAGACTCCTCCCTCACTCCCCAAAGGAAACCCAGCCATCCCCGAAGTCACCTCGTGGGCGCGCAGCTTGCAGATCCTGGGTGGTGGCCGAGCAGAGGCCAAATTTTTCTTGGAGACACAGGAGGAGTGGGGGACGGGAGGGGGGCGACTGTTGCCAGGGCCGCTGGAAGCGCGCTTCCGGTGCGGAACACACGGCGCGACGCGCCGGAAGTCCTCACTTCGTCGAGGACGTCACGTTTGCACCACGGGCGGTGCCGTGCTGGAGGCCGGAAGCTGCCTGCTAATTGGCTACCCCGAGTGGAGCGCCGGGCGACAGGCGTGGGATGGTGGGGGTGGCGGGGCCGGCGGAGAAGGTGCTGCCCGGGGCAGGGCACTGCGACTGCGGCGGCCACCAGCACCGGGAGTCGGAAGGTGCTGTCTGCCCCGGCGGGTGTGTTGGGATGAGAAGATGAGAGTCGCTTCACCACGGCCAGGATCTCCAGCCTTAACTGTTTGTCCTTTCCTCAGCTTTCTTCGTTTTCCTTCCTTTGTCTTTACTTAGCCTTCTCTTTCTTCCTTTTTATTTTCTTTCTTAACTAAAACAGTTACAGTTTATTTAATTTGCCCCCGGGAAAACTCCCAGTCTTTGCAAACAGATTCACCCAGATCTCAGTTTGAATGCGATTCCAGTGCTAGGTTTTTAACCTCCCAAGCCTCGTGTTTCTCATCTATAAGGTATGCATAGCCTAATGCACAGTGCCTGATGTATTACAGCAGACAAAACATTGGTACTTATTAAATATGTTTGTAATTATAACCATCACAGCAATACCTGCCCTGTTAGTATCACAAGTCATTAAAAATAACCAAGTATAAACAATCAGAAGTCTTACGTGACATATTTCTGAGACAATTAGGCAAAATGTGGCAAGAGCCGTAAAAGGGAGCATATTTAATACTTTCTCGGAATTATTAAACAAGAACCAGATAGATGTTTATTATGGAATTATTTTAAAGGTGAAAATTGGAAATCACCTAAATGCCCAACGAGGAAATGGCTAAGTCGATTGGGTGATATTAATGACGTGACATTACTATATACTATAGAAGAATTAAAATGGTATAGATTATTAACTTTAACAAATATATACTGGATGTCTGTTATGTGCCAAGTATTCTGTGTTGGCACTGTCCATTGCAACCACCACATGTGGCCATGAGAACCCGAACTGTAGTAGCCTAAACTGACATATACTGTAAGGGTAAATTACACACTAGATTTTGAAGAAGAATGAGCAAAAGAATGTAAAATATCTGAATTTCTTTATAGTGATAACATCTTAGAGAAGGACTATTGAGATTACAGATTAAAATTTTATTTTTATCTTTTTACTTTATTAGGGTGGTTACAAGAACATTTAAAATTATATATGTGGCATGCATTATATTTCTATTGGACAGTAGTATTCTATTTACCAGATATACAGTAGTAAACAATACAGTTTTTGGCCTCATAAAATTAAATCTTTTGTGTAGAACATGGACAATAAGCAGAAAAATAGAAGTTTATGTTGTGGTGAGTTATATGAAGACAGTATAGCAGGGTAAGGGCCTGTGTATGTAGACAGGGATTATTTTAGAAAAGATTCTTCTTCTACTTCAGAAAATGGATGTGGGAGGAAGTGAGATATCTATGGATAGAAGCATCTAGAGAGGAAGGAAAGAAAGATGGAGAGGGGTAATAAGATAGGGAGAAAGAACTCAGGGGATTCTTGGGAAAGGCAGAAGAATACAGGCCTAGAGTGGCTATAGTTCAGGTAAAGCAATTCCTGGTTCTATGACTAAAAAAACAATATATATATGGTATACTATGGCATTAGATAGAATATTATTTGGCTGCTGTCACAGAGATGCAGAAGAGGAGTGGCTCAAACTGTCGAGAAGTGTATTTCAATCTTGTGGCAGTCTGGGTGTAAGGAGTCCAGAGTATGGCAGCTCCACTTGTCTCATAGCTCCACCCTCCCTGGTTTCTTGCCTTGGCCCACATGGTCCAAGATGGTATACCACTGCACCTTTCAGCCAGTGGGAAAGAGAAAGCCAGGGGCATGCCCTTTCCCTCTAAGGGTTTCTCCACTTTGGCACTATTCACATTTGGGGTTGGATAATTCTGTATTTTGGAGGTGGTCCTGTGCTTTGTAGTTTTTAGTAGCATCTCTGGTCTCTACCCACCAGATGCCAGTAGCATCTCCCAATTGTGACAGCCAAGAATATCAGACATTGCCAAATGTCTCTGGAGGGAGGGGGGCAAAGTCACCCCTAGTTGAGAACCACTGCTTTAAGAGTACTACTCAGAAGCAGCCCACAGCACTTCTGATCACATCTCACTAATGGCCTGAACTTCATTACTTAGCCCTCCTAAGGGTAAAGGAGTCTTGGAATTGTCTTTTTCAGATGACCAAGTGCCCAGCTAAAAATTGGCTAAAGAAGAAAAAAAGCTAGCTGATTCTCCCATACCCTTGTTGCTACAGGGAATGGAAATTCTGTAGCTGATGGAGGAGGTGGTCCTGTTCTTTTCATCTTTAAGGCTGAGTTTTAGTCATTACTCCCTTTAACTCACTTGCATAAAAATACTGGTGGTATGGAACACTGAGTACCTAAGGAGCAACAATCCTATTTGGAAAGAATGGGCATTGTTGCTCCAGGGGGCTAACCAGGGAGAGAAACCGAATTCTGAAATGGAGGCTAGAGTAGGTTGGATTTTCACTTGTCATTTAGCACCATCTGGTGGAAATTTACAAATTACAATTCCTCAAGTAGTTTCTTTAATTTGTCTCTGGCATACGTTTCAAATTTTAAATGGATTATAGCAAAACTTCCAAGAGTCCTGTCAGCTGAGGAACTCCAAAGCAAGATCTCTCACTTTTGGAACTATTGGCATTTGGGACTGCATAATTCATTGTGGGGGCTATTCCGTGCATTGTAGGATATTTAGAAGCATTCTTGGCCTCTGCCTACTGGATGTCTCTCCCTGCCCCCATTTATGACAACCAAAAATGTTTCCAGCCATTGCTAAATGTCCCTAGGGTGGGGGTGGGGTGAGGAATGGCTCCTGGTTGAGAACCACTCCTTGAAACAAGGCAACTAAAATCCCAGTGCCTGTTAAGGCATAGTAGTCCCCTATCAGTGTATCCTGGTGTGTCTGGAAAGGATGGGAGGCAGTGCTGGGAGAAAACGGCACCTGATATAGCAGGACATGTCCTCTGGTTTACACTTTGGAGAGTTTTGCTCCTGCTTATCTCAATCATAGGAGATGAGATTGAGGGAGAGAAGCCAAAAGGCATGGCTAGAGAATGTAGATTTTTTAAAAGTCCCTATGGTAAGGAAATATATAGAGGTCATTACCTAACACAGGAAATAGCACACACGAATCTAACTCTGGTACTGGGGCCCCAAAGTTCAGGTGTCATGTGTGGAAATCCTGCCAGCTGTGGGAAGCCATAGCTAATCTCATGGGACTTTTTGGATCCTCCCCTGTACCCCAGTCAGGACCCATCTGCCACCTAAGTGTTCTGGAGAAACAGCTTGGAAACCAGTCCCCTTACCTGGATCAAATAAGTGATGCTAAACTACCTGCAAACAGTAGTCCTGAACTCTTACTTTGAAGTTGGGTAAAGGGAAGAGAAGTTTCCCAGCAGCACCCATAGCAGGCTGTCACTTGAGGTCCAGCTCAGGATCTCTGCCATAATTTTTCCTTCTTTTCACCTTCTCAATCCCCTCCTCACCAGCCCCAGATCCTTCCTTTCAGCAGATGTGAGATGACCAGGCACAGATTTCATCACCTTGAGATAGATTGCTGTCTGCACTCACTATGCCTCTTGGTTTAGAGAAAGAGGCACCATGGTGAGTGCCTTTGTTTCTGCCTAGGCCAACTCAGTCACATCGTTCTCTGGACCCAGTTCCATGTCCTCACAGGCACCTTACACCCTCAACTGTACACCTCTCATATCATTGCCTCTCTCTTTCCTGGCTTCTTCCCTACCAGCATCAAACTTGCTCAGGTTCTCTCATCTTTAAAATCATTTGGGCTGATTTTTCACTCCCCTCTCCTCACCTTTCTATTTTTCCACTTCTCTTTTTAGTTATACTTCTGTAAAAAGTGAGATACCTTTATTTCCTTACCTACTTTCCACTCACCCCATAGCTGGTTCTCTTCAAGCATGTCCGTTCCAGTACAACTGTCTCACTGGCATCACTGCTGACTTTTTCCATCTACTATACTTTGGCCTCTCTGCAGTATTTAATACTATTGTCCATGCCCTTCTTCTTTTAAAATTACAAGATTTTCTCTCCCCAGACTGCAAAGGTAACATGTGCTTAATGCAAAATAACACAAATCTTGGAAAATGGAAGCACTTAAGTACAAAGGAAAACAACAAGAATGACTTGCCCTGCCAGTCCTTTAAAGTAACCACTCTTTAGCATATAACAATTTTAAACGTATGTGCACTCAACACTGGAGTACCCAGATATATGAAGTGAATATTATTAGAGCTAAAGAAACAGATAGGCTCCAATACAATAATAGCTGGAGATTTCAACACCCCGCTTTTCAGCATTTGACAGATCTTCCAGATAGAAAATCAACAAGGAAACATCAGACTTTATCTGCACAACAGACCAAATATCGAATAGACATTTAGAGAACATTTCATCCAATAGCTGCAGAATACACATATTTTTCCACAACACATGGATTATTCTCAAGGATAAACCATATATTAGTTCATAAAACTAGTCTTAAAACATTCAAAAACATTACAATGATATCAAGCATCTTCTCTAACCATAATGGAATAAAACTAGAAATTGAGGAATTTTGGAAACTTTTCAAATACATGAAAATTAAACAATATGCTCCTTAATGACCAGTGGGTCAATGAAGAAATTAAAAAAAAAAATAAAAAAATGTCTTAAAACAAATGAAAATAGAGGAACAGGCAGTACTTGCAAACTCATTCTATAAGGCCACTATTACCCTGATACCAAAACCAGACAAAGACACATCAAACGACAACAAGAAGAAGAACACAAAAACTATAGGCCAATATCCCTGATGATTATTGAAGCAAAGATCCTCAACAAAATATTAGCAGACTGAATTGAACAATACACTAGAAAGATAATTAATCATGACCAAGAGGGATTTATCCCTGGATGCAAGGATGGCTCAACATAGGCAAAT